GTCTGAAGGTACGTGATTTTAATCCTCTTGTGTTAAAGCTTAAATCTCGACTTTTAAACTGGAAGAATAAATTCCTTTCCTATGGTGGGCGTCGACAATTAATTATCTCAGTGCTCCACTCAATGCAAACTTATTGGATGTCGGTATTTCTGGTACCGGCGACCACAATCCATGAAATTGAGCAGCTATTTCGTCATTTTTTATGGAATAAAACTGAGGGGCAGATGGGTAAATGTCGAGTTGCTTGGGATACTGTTTGCTTGCCCATTCAATGTGGGGGTCTTGGTATGAAAAGACTTGCGACTTGGAATAGGTGTCTTCTTTTTAAACATATTTGGGATATTCTAAAGGGCAGAAACACTATGTGGGTCTCTTGGATTCAGTCTCATTGTGTCTGGGGCCGTAATTTCTGGGTTATCAAGAAGAGRAATGAGTGGTCGTGGATTCTTCGAAGCCTTTTAGACTTAAGATCTCATTGCCGGAGATTCTATATCTATATGGTGGGAAATGGTTTATCTACTCATGCTTGGGAAGATACTTGGAGCGAGTCGGGTCCTCTCATCCAATCCCTGACTTATAGATTCATAAATGGCTAGGGATTTCACAATAACTCCACGGTATCTGATCTAATGCAACGTTTTGGTACTAGTTGGCCGGTGGATTGGCTTCAACAATATCCTCAATTGCAAGGTGTTATGATTCCGGCTCCCAGTCAAGAGGAAGATACGGTCAGATGGCTTGATAACAAACTTTCCCGGGGTGACTTTGAGGTAAAAATGGCGTGGAGTACTATCCAAGAGGTGAAGCCGGTTGTGTATTGGTATAAACTCGTTTGGAATAAAGCTTACGTTCCTAAACATGCTCTTTGCATGTGGATGGCATGTCAGAAGAAATTGCCAACTCAAGATCGGATTAGTCAATGGAAGCATGAACCGCCGGATTTAAAGTGTGTTTTTTGTWACCTTGTGATTGAAAYRCACAAYCACCTATTTTTTGAATGCAARTATTCCAGCAGTATTTGGGATGCTATTAAAAGGGAGGTGGGACTAATGACTTTTCCAAACAATTGGGAGGATATCCTTCAAAGAGGGTCCACTCAAAATTGGAGATCTCGGTCTACGGTTCAAAAACTTGGTCGTTCAGCAACGGTTTATCTCATCTGGAGGGAGCGGAACAGGAAGTTCTTTGCCAATTTCAATCATTCGGGGGATAAAGTTATTACGGAGATCAAGATGCTGATTCTTCATCGAATGGCGTGGAAGACAAGGAAGAAGATTAGGAATCTCAATGGCATGTGATCTCGTGGGTGGTGTGCTCTTACGATTTTGGCTCATTTGGGTTTCTTTTGCCTTTTTATTGTTGGCTTTTGGTGTTGTTATGTTTTGGTGTATTTCCCTTTGTCTGTTTTGGCTCCTTATGACTTGGTTTGTGAGTCAAGGTTGCCGTAGTTTCTCTTGCTGATTGTTTTGTTTTGGTGACATTTTTACTGCCTTTATAAAATTGCCTGGGGAAACTCTTCCCTTTTCAGTATATGACCCAATTAGTGTCATTTTGACCCAATTATAAAGAAATGGGCCTATTAAACCAATTTGGGTTCAATTGGATTAATTATGATCCATTTAGTGTCACTTTGACACGAATGACTCTATTAAAAGAAGTAGGCACATTCTACCTAGTAGGACCAATTGTACCCAATAAGGGCCCTTAAGAACCATTATACCACAAATTTGTCGCATTAACGTCCAGTTATGACTTATTTAGTATAATTTTGACCCAATTACACTCCTCATGGAGAGATGGGGTGCTTATACCCATTAGGTTCTAATGAGACTAATTACGACCTAGTTTGTGTCATTATGACCCCATTGGACTCCTTATGGAGAAAATARCCCATTATATCCACTAACACAAAATGAACCTAATAAGGACCATTAAGACTCATTCTACCTCAATTGCTCCCATTAACTTCAAATTAGACTAATTATGAACCATTTAGCACCATTATAACTTAACTAGACTCAAAATGGAGAAATAAGCAGAGTATCCTCTAATGTCTGACCAAACTAAATATGAGACATTTAGTGTCATTTTGACCCAATTAGACTCTTTCTGTTCTGTTACGGTTCACGGTTTCCCTTCACGGCGGTTTTAGGTTTTCGCATTGGAGGGTTTTGGTTGAAACGGCGGCTGTGCTTGGCTTTCGTTTCTTCTTGAAGGCTTATTTCCGTTTGGTTTGGTTTGTTTTCGTCCTTGGTTGGAGGAGAATTGTGATCGTGTTCGTTTGAGGTGTTTTCTTATTGTTCGATCCCGTCTTCTTCATCAAAGGCCGATTAGGGTTTATTGGTTTTGAGGTGGCGGCATTTGGTTTCTTCTTTTCGGGTTTAGTTTGGCAACGGCGGCTGGTTTGTTTCCGTTTCTTCCTCACAGAGTGATTAGGGTTATTAGTTTGGAGGAGGCGGATTTTGGCTGTAGTTTCTGTTTGAAGGTTTGCTTTCGGTTATATTGGAGGTTTGGATTTGTTTTCGGTTGGAGGTTCGTTCCCTTTGTATTGATCTCGTTTCTTCTTCAAAAGCCGATTAGGGTTTCTTGTCTTGGGTGGAGGCGATATTCGTGTTCTTCATTAAAGGTTGGTTTCGTTTTGTGTCCCTTGGCTGGTTATTTCTCGTTTGTGTCCTCTTGGCCGTTCGTACACGGCTTGGTTTCTTTCTTCCCTTCGGTTTGCTGTTTCTTTGTTGTTTCTTTGTGAAGGTGTTTTCGTATTGTTGGTGCTTGATTAAAGGGTTTTGCTTGCTTGCTTGAGGCTGTAGTTCTCGTTTGTCTGCAATTTTCCTTGACTAGGGTTTGCATGCGCCTAGTACTCCACGTCTAGGGTTTACATGCATTCTTGTGGTTTGGTGGGCTGCTTGGTTCTCATCGTTTGTGCGTTTTTGTTCTTTTGGCTTTGCTGCGGTTGGTTGGAGGTATTCATATTTAGTTTCTTATCCCGCGTCAAGTGTTTATGTGGTCATCGTCTCCTTTGTTAAGTTTCTTGCTAGAGTATTCAGCACCTTTTTATAAGGTCTTCGTCTACTTTATTAAGACTGCTTGGCTAGGGATTCAGCACCACGGCTTCTTGATTTGGGTTATAGTAAACTAGGTATTCTTTCCTGTTGAAGGAGGATGTTTGACTTTGCGGATGTTATCTTGGAGGATGGTTCTTCCCAGGATTTTGCTGATGTTATTTTGGGAGCGACGGATCCTAGCTTGGTAAAGGTCCCTTCTTTGCATGAGGGTCTTCAGAAGAAGGCTGGCGTGATTGGGGACTCTAACCAGAGGGTTTCGGTATGGGAACGTCTTTCTCCGGCGATTAGGGGTGATAAAGGTGTGGTTCCTCAGAAATCCTTTGCAGATATTGTGGGTGGTTCCTCTTTGACTGAGCTTACTTATTTTCCGGTTGAGAAAAGTGTGAAACCGCGGATCTGTTTTCCCTTGGACGTTACTAAAGGTATGGCTAAATCATTTCAATCGGTTCTTYATGGTTATTTTCTKGGTCCCCGTCTTCCWTTCCCTGTTGTTTTACGTGCGGTTCARAATGCATGGSGAAMATTTGGTCTCATTGATGCTATGGTTAATGATATGGGGTATTTCTTTTTTCGCTTTAATGATGAGGGTGGGTGTAACCAAGTTATTGAAACGTCTCCCCTTATGATCAAAGGGAGACCGCTGTTTGTCTCCTTCTGGGATCCCTCAAAGGGTCTTTAGAAACCTGAACACAAGTCTTGCCCGTTGTGGGTGAAGTTTTTTAATATCCCTCTAGTTGCTTTCAATAAAGAGGGTATCAGTCGCATTGCTAGTGCTATAGGCGTCCCTTTGCGCTTAGATGCTTGCACTGCCTCCACTTGTGATAGAGCATGGGGTCGTACTAACTTTGCTAAAGTTTTGGTGGATGTGTGGGCCATGGGGGAAATGCAGAAGAATATTGAAGTGGTTATTCCAAGGCTATCGGGTACTGGAGAGGATATCATTAATGTTGTTCTGGAATATGATTGGGTTCCTTCCCAGTGTTCAGTGTGTAAAGTATTTGGTCATCGTACGGCGACATGTCTGAAAGGGGATATTGCAAAGCAAAGGTCTTCTGAAACAGTCACGGATAAAAGGGGTTTTACAGAGTTCAGGCGGAAACAGTGGAGGAAAAAGGATACATCAGGCCGTACAGATTTTCAGGCCACATCATCTGGAGCGGCCACAGGTACTCATGATACTTTAACTGGGGTTGGTGTTCTAAAAAGGGTTCAGGAGGGTTCAAAACACTTGGCGAAAGATACAAATGTCACACATGTTTCAAGTTCTGAGGATTCTACGAATTTGAAGGGGAAGGATACTGGAAAAGTAGACGGCCAATTCTGTACGGTGAATGCGGGACGTACGCCAAGAGGGMGAGAGGATGTTTCAAATGTTCAAATCTTATCGAAAGGTAATCCGGAGTTAGTGCAAAAGGTGGTGCAAGCTTTTAAACCAAGGAAGGGTAAAATTCTTGATCTGAAAACTAGTAATCGGTTTTTGTCTCTTTCTGATGAGTCTAGTGATGATGACGAAATGGAAATCATAGATACGGAGGAGCATTTAAAGGCCAATAAAGGAGCGGATGATCCATCTTCTTTGTCTCAATGATAAAGTTGGCAGCTTGGAATGTTAGGGGATTAAATGCCCTTATTAAACGAAAGGAGGTACGTGATTTCATTTCTCTCAAACATCTTTCTTTATGTTGCATCATAGAGTCCAAAGTTGTTTACAATCACTTGGGGGATGTGTGTAGTAGTGTTTTTGGTAATTGGAATTGGATTTCRAATGGTTCGGTCAGTGATCAAGGCACTCGCCTAATTATTGCTTGGGACCCGTTGGTTTTATCTGTCCTTATGATTGAGCAGCATTATCAATATGTTCATTGTGAAGTTCGAATTCTTGGGMAAAYTGAACCCCTTTTTATCWCTTTTGTTTATGGWTGTAATAYGGGTACTGAACGGCGTGAACTTTGGCGGGCTTTTGGGGAATTTCATGCCTTCTGTCAGAGGAAAGCATGGATTGCTATGGGTGACTTTAATTCGATGCTTTTCCCTCATGATGGGTTGGGGGGTTCCTCCAGGAGGAATTCTGACATGGAGGAATTTCATATCTGTCTGGAGGAGGCTGAATTATTTGATATTTCGTATCAAGGGTGTCAATTTTCTTGAATCCAGAAACCTTCGGGTGGAGAGGGAGTTATGAGAAAACTTGATCGTATTTTGGGCAATTCGAATTTTATCTCTAGATTTGGGGATGCTTCGGCTTTCTTTGAACCTAGGGGGATTTCTGACCATTCTCCGGGCATTCTTTCTTTCCGTGTTGGAAGACGTATTCGTCAGCGTGGTTTTAAGTTTGACAATTTTGTGACCTCTCATAAGGACTTCCTTGCTTCGGTGGAGGAGGTATGGTCGAAGCCTCAGATTGGATCTTACATGAAGCGGGTTCTAAGGAAATTAAAAGATCTTAAGGTGGTTTGTCGGCGTCTCCGCAATTCGTATGGATGTTTGGATAAAAGGGTTGTTCAACTAAAGACTGAACTTGATGTTGCGCAATTGGCTTGTGATCTTGACCCGTTTAATGATTTGCTAAAGGAGGACATCGCTCATCTCTTATTAGCTTATCAAGAAGCTAGGAGTCATCAGGTGGAATTGGCTCGACAAAAAGMRAAAATATCTTGGCTAAATGAAGGGGATRGWAATTCTAAATTCTTCTTTCATGCTATGAAAGAAAAGCGCAATCGGAACCATATAGCCATGATCAGGGACTCGGATGGTGTAATCTTTGAGCATCAGGAGGTCTCAACGGCTTTCATTTCTCACTTTAAAGGGATTCTTGGTACCTCTAATAGTTTGGTTCCTTCAACTATGGGGGATTGTGTGTTTCGTCATGCTTTRTCATTATCGGACTCTCTTCATTTAATWCGTCCAATTTCMGACTTGGAAATAAAGGATGCTTTATTTGCTATTGGAAATGATAAAGCTCCTGGCCCTGACGGATATTCTTCTAAATTCTTTAAGTCAGCTTGGAATGTGGTTGGGAGGGATGTGCTTATTGGGAT